AGCCCTCCTCACTAGCTTGGTAAGCCTGTGACTGAAGTTGCTCTTCCCTTCCTCTGAGAGATGGATCCATCAGCCGCCAGTAGACCTAGTTTCTCAAACCAGTCTCATGGTCCAAGTCAAACTGGGTACCAGTCCCAGAACCATTTGTAGACTGACCAGATTCAACTGGCCCTTTCAAACAGCTCTCCTTTGACTGTGAGGACTGATGAAAAAACTACGTGCAGAGACTTACATTTTTTTAATTTAAGAAAAATCTGAGCATGGATATTTATGATGTTTCCTTTTTGGTTTTGTGGCACAACTGTTGTGTATCTTTTTTGATTCTTCTATTTCTATTTCTGCAACTGAATTATTCTGGTCAACTTACTTTCAGATTTGTGTGTGTCTTAAAGATGCTACCTGTTAGGGACATCTGCTTTTACAAGATGTGCAGACAAGCTTCAAAGCTAACTGTACATCTTAATGTTTCCTTTGCAGAATGAATGGATTAGTTAAGGCTAGTTTTTCTCATGGGATATTCTGCCTTGAATAATTAAAACCACAGACATAACCCCTTCTTTATCCAAATGCGTTGTTACTGAAGGATTGTGGAAAAAGGAATAATTCTTATACTTTGTGCTTGACTCATTTAGTGCCTGGCTGTAAAAGCATAGTTACATCTCAGTTCTTGGTTCTCTAAAGCATATTTTAGCAAATCCCTTGATATCTGTGAAGAGAGTGGTATATGGGAAAGCATGATACTATTCTACAGATTCTTAGAGTGATATAGGATGAAAAGGAACCTCTACAGGCCTTAAACCTACCTCTCACTCAGATTACAGACAACTTTGAGCAGCTGTCCGAGAATTGTCCATGTAAATTTTCAGTGTTTCCAAAAATGGAGTTTTCACAAATTCTCTGTTCCTGTGTTTGTGTAATGGTTTGGACCTGGCTCCCTGCCAAATGCCCAAAATCACAGTAACAACCCCTTCCCCCTCCCTTCTTCCCTTAGGGCAAGGAAAAAAAAAAAACCATAAAAAAATGGAGAACCTGAAGTCAAGCTAGTTATATAAAAATATATATATTTACGTATGTTACAGTTATATACAATTAAGATGCTATGTACACAGCAAAGGGAATCCAAACAGTCCCGTCTCCCCCTCAAGGGAAAGGGAAAGGGGAAAAAGGGATAAAAAGGGACAAAAAGGGACACAGAACAGATATACACAACCAAACCTAAGAACTAGCAAAATAACTAGCAAAACAAATCTCACCACGTCCCTCAAAAAAGCAAGATCTCCAGACATGGCCAGCATTCTCCAAATCTCCCATGTGGCAGACCAGTGGTCACTGCAGGCCTCAGCCTTAGATAAGCGAGACCAACGCAAGGACCCGCTGCTCACAAACCTCACCAGAAGAGAAGAGAGTGAGGTCTTCAATCTCCAACTTATTTATGCTCTGGTTTACATAAAAATCATATAGAATACTGTTGCAGTTATTAATATAATAAATAAATGTGTCCCATAGGGACCATGGTGAACACCGGTATGATGAGTAACGAATGTGTCTTTATTCAAACAGTCACAGCTTAAACAGTAGTTTCAAATGATCCCAGGTAACGTCCTAAGCCAATCCCATAAAAGCATTCAAGTGAGCATGTGCAACAGATTCTTAGAACTACAACTCCCAGAAGTCCCTGCGGCACGTGGTGTAATTAGACCCCACAGAATACTGGGTACACAGCCACTTACTTGCTTATGAGCTGGTTACCAGGAAGGCCTAGACCAAAACCATGACAGTTTGGCAGTCCTTACTGTGAATTTGCTTCCCTAATATATAGTTACACTTTAATCCTACTGCATCCTATACAGGTGTGATGGTTCGGACTTGGCTCCCTGCCAAATGCCCAACCCCCCAGTAGCAGCCCCTCTCTTCCCCCCTTTCTACTTCCCCCAGGGCAAAGGAAAAAAACTATGCAAATTGAAGAACTTGAAAACCAAGCTAGTTATATAAAAAATATATTTTATGTATATTACAGTTAAGATGTTATGTACACGGCAAACGGGAATCCAAACACCCCCCGAAGGGATAGGGAAAAAGGGATAAAAGGAAACAAAAAGGGACACCGAATAGATATGCACAATCAAACCCGAGAACTAGTAAAATAACTAGTAAAACAAATCTCACCACGTCCCTTAGAAAGCAGGATTGGCAGACACTGCAGCACTCTCCAAGCTTCCACGTGGCAGGTCGGTGGATGCTGCAGGCCTCAACCTTAGATAAGCGAGACCAATGCAGGGACCCACTGTTCCCGAACTTCAGCGGAAGAGAAGAGAACGAAGGCTTCTCCTCCCTTCTTATTTATACCTCGATTTACGTAAAAATTGTATGGAATACTGGGAACACTGCCCCTTCCTTGGTTACCAACTGGTAACCAGGGAAGGCCTAGTTTAAAACCACCACAACAGGTCTGTTGCCTTTTAACCTGTTAACTTTGTAACTCCCAAGAAGAATTGGGCTTCATCTTCTCTATACTGTAGCCTTGAGTTGTTAAAGATAGGTTTATAATTTCTTTAAAATGTACTATTAACTTCTGTTTAAATCATTTGTGAAGTATCTGATAAGTGTAACCTGGAATTTGTACTCTAAAACACTAGTAGGTACTGGAAATCCTTGATGTAGGTACTGGAAATTGTAGAGTTCTTACTCCCCAGGAAAGCGGTCACAACATCAAACCTGACAGAGTACGGGAAGCATTTGGACAGTGCTCTCAGGCACGTGGTGTGACTCTTGGGGTGTCCTGTGAAGAGCCAGGAGTTGGACTTGATGATCCTTGTGGTTCCCTTCCAACTCAGCATATTCTGTGATTCTATGACTGTGCCTTTGTTTTTGTCATGGTCACGAATCAACTCTGGTTTACCTATGATTCCATTTTTTTGATGGATGCATATTTGGTTCAAAGTGTAATAAGGCCTTTTTAACAACCCAGGAGCAGCTAAGTGCCTTTTCAAATGATCCTTGGTTTGTTGTATAATGGTAAAACTTCTGCTTCTTTGAATTTCTTCAGAAGTCTGTAAACATCTGAACAAATTTCCTAAACTTTGATCGATAATTTAATGCAGTTGCCTTGTCTGCTAGTCCTCAGTTGCACTGTTGTTGCATACTGGTAGATTGAGATCCTTCTTATGCTGAAGATACTCCATTTCTCTGTGAAGATTTGCCTATAGGTGATATTTTCTGATTGCAGACAGCAAACTTGTGTTTGTGTGCCAGGAAATCTATTAGTGTTTGTTGATAATACTACCATTGAGGTTTGTGTGATCAGTTATCTTGCCCTCCTCTGATTCATGTCAGTAGGAAAGTGGTAAGTTCTTTTTTTATAAGGCATGTAGACCTACTACTTGTCATTTTATGCTGCTATAGCTATGTCATAGTTCTGATTGTAGCAAGGAATTTTGTCTTTCCTTTCCCCTTTTCCCCCCCCTCCCCTGCGTGTGTGCTGTTAACGAACAATTAGATAAACAAAGGAGTTAGCCTGGGTCCTAAATGACCAGACATTAGTCGCCTAGCAACGAAGAAGGAGGAATTGGAAAAGGCCAGAGTGTGTGTATGGAAAGGGGTGGGGTTTGGGGTTTTGGAGCTCAGCCCTGGGGGGTTGGAGCTCAGGCTCGGGAGCGGGAGGAGAAGGCTGCAGCACGCAGGAGAGACGGGCTAGTTTCTTCTTTGTCTTTTCCTGTGGGAGAGGAGTTTTTGCTGCTGTCTCTCTGCGCAGCTGTTTTGCTGGTTGCAGGCTTGGTTCACTGCGAGATCTTCACCGAGTCGTGAGTTTTTCTTCCATTGGGAGAACTTTCTGTTTCCCTTCCCCTTCCCCCCTCCTCCCTTGCCACCCGGCGGCAACCAGGGATCCCACAGCGCCGCCTGGTAACGGGTACTGGACATTACAAGTTCTACTCCTCCAGTGATCCAACAGCGCCACCCGGTGACTACTATAGAACATTACAAGTTCTGCACTTTTTGATAACTCAACAGCGCCACCTGGTGAATGGTATGAGACATTACAAGTTTTTGCATCTCCAGTGACCCGACGGCGCCCCCTGCTGACTGTGGCTGGAACTGCACAAAGGGTGCTAAAAATTGAACTATTTGATTTTCTTTTTTTGCCAGTTTTATCGGTTTTGTTCTTGAAGGGGATTATTGGTGGGTATAGGGGTATTGCTTGGTTGTTTTACTTGGTTTTTTTTTTTTGTGTGTTCCTGTTAATACACACATACCTTTTAATAAAGGGCTGTTATTTTTTTTCCTTTTTCCATAATTTGTTTTCCTTCAATCGGAGCCTCTTAATTTTGGATCTATAATTGCTAGGAAAGAAGGTGTGGGTCTTTTTCTCCTAATCCATCCTCAGCAAAAGACCTTTTGTCTCATTTAAACTGAGACAAGCTTATACTTCTGTTTTTCAAGGGAGAGGTCAGCTGCTTACAAAAAGCATTGTTTTGCCTTAATCTTTGGCTGTGGTATGTTGTTAATTAGATCAGAACTACCAGACTTAATATTGTTACTGTTGTGCTAAAAGGATACTGGTCAGATTGCACAGAATTTTTTTCTTTACATTAATTTTGTCTTCTGAGGTTTTGTTTGCTATATACAAGACTGATTGCCTACTCTTTTTAAAGCAAATTCTAACAGTTAGAATGGAAAATTTCTGAGGTACTTAACTTCAGGGTTTTATTACCAGGGGATATGATACAGGAACAAAACTGTACCAAAGTTTTTGTGCCTTCAGAAGTTTTATATGTAGGGTTTTTCATATCTGTTGCTGTCTTAATTATAATAAATATATTTTCCCCTCTGGAAATTGTATATGTATATTGTTAGAAATTATTGTTGTCCAGTGACTATACAAGAAGTGAATTACAGTTATTTCAATACAGATTTAATTTCCCCTCTGCCTTTCCATTGCAGTTTTTTCTTTTGTACTGCAATATGCAGGAATTCAAGCATAAGCCACATATTTCCAACTTTAGGTAATAGAAACAGGTACCTGGAGCAGTCCTAAAAAAATTAAATAGTTGAAGATCTAAATGAAGAAAGCTTTTACCTTGGCAGACTAATGTCCTCACTGTAAGCAGTTTCTCGGGTCTCAGAAACTCTACAATATTTGTGAGTGGGAAGCTACCATGCATAAACTTCATTCTAAGTACTTTCCAATTAATTTTGAACGCGTTACACACTTTCTGCAAAAGTTCACCCTAGAACTGCAGCAACACAAGACAAAGGTTGTTAACCAAGCAGATTCTTGCATCGGAATGTCAATTCACTATCTGACCAAAGACTGTTCTAGTTGTACTGAGACATGTGAAAAACTTGTTTTATCTCATAGTCCTTTCTGATGGAAAGACCCAATACCAAGTGGACTTTGTTTGAGATTTCTGTTGGTGATTGAAACAATGGAAAATGAGATTGTAATGTGAACCAAATGGTGTGAGATAAGGCAAAAGGTTAATGGACTACTTTTAGTACTGTATTCAAGACACAGAAAACATGTCTAAGAATTGCTGTCATTCCCTCATTTTACATGATCTGTTCATAAGTGTTCCCTTTCAGTTTATAAAAATGTTTATGTAACACAAGAAAATACTGTAAATATTTGCAACATCATGGTTTTTGAGTTTGTTTTTGTTTTTTTAACCTGGCAAAAAAGTGTTCGGGGGAACAAATGGAAATGTAAAATGTTTTTTTATAAAAAAGATTGTCTGTATATTTTAATAAGCAACAGCTTTCATTTGTAAAGTATCTTATGGCATTGCCTGAAAAGAATTCCATGTCTGTTGAGATGACTTAAAAATGAAAGAAGATATAAGATGTATTAAAGAAACCTATTTTGGGACTATGTAGTGCATGGTGAATTTGATTATGCTGTAATATATTCTGTTTGTTTAGGTTAGCGTGTTTTCTGATAATTTAGTAGCTATACCTATCTCTTTTCCTAACTAGTTGTTATAGCATGTCTTTTAATAAATGTCATTACAGTTGTACTCTCTTAAGTTCTCCTGTGTTCTTGTCTACTGCTTTGGGTTTTTTCTTGTTTTATAATTGCGCAGCTAATAATATCTTATTTTCTTATCAAAACTATTTTAAGAAGGTTAGTGCACATCTTCAGCAACAAGTACACCCTTGTGTAGGACAGAAATTCTTATTTTCAGTGGGAGGGGAATCTATTCTACAACTCAGAGCCAATAGTTTAGACCCTTTTATTCTGGCATCTGAAATTCAGGATTGCTGGTAAACAGACAGTAGCCTAAAGCAAGAGATACAAATACATGTGTGATGTGGGGAGTGCAGCCCCTCTTTCTGATCTAAAATTCTCAGCCAATCTGGCAGGCATTTAATTGTCTGCCACTCAGTCCAAGCCTAGCACATCTTGAAGAATCTGAAGTCTCGTGCATATACTTAATGACTAACTGTGTTTCAAAACTAGGACTAGAGCACTGAGCAAATTTAATGTAAATTATGCTATTACCAATCTCTGAATGTAGATGCCTTTGTAGGGAGAAAAATCTAACTGAATTTATGCTGAATTGTAGCTTTCAGCAAAATACTTATTCTCCAAAGGCTAGATATGAAGTTCTCATGTGTAATTCTTTATTTTGTCCTTGATACTTAAATATTTGATGAGCATTCTGGGGAAAATGTTAGCTTTTGGTGGCCAAAATCTGGCTTCATGTTTTTTGACCAAGTCTACCTGAGAAAGTGTAATAGGAAAGTAGAATTCCTGTGTGTTGTCTTCTCCCCTTCCTACATAACAAAAAAGTAAATCCCATCTTGAATTCTTGTCAGCTGTTCTAATCCTGTGATATAATCACAAGTAATTTTGGTTTCCTAAGCAGTTAATATAAGTGTCCCTCTTGGAAAATGAAAATCGCTTTTAATTAGAATAAATATAAAATTTTCAATACTTGGAAGCTGAAACAGTAAGGGCAGTAATTGCTGAATTTGCCAACATGTAAGATCTCATATGGTTTGTATCAATCCTAAATGATTTCTCTATAGCCCCAGGCCTCACCCATTTACAGAGATGGAAAGAAGATAATGTGTGCTTTAAAAATAAAGTAAAAATTTCCACTTGCATTGTTTAAGTGCACTGAGATATTTGGATATGAGTTATTCAGCATGTAGCAGGTGAGTACAAGGACATGTAAACAAAAGATATGAAAGTGGAAATTATACGGTAGAATATGTAGATGAGAAAAGGCATGGGACTGCTAGAGGCTAAGGGGAAAAGACACTTCAGAGTAGTGAATCTTCACAGAGACCATCTCCAGACCAATGCTTTTGCTGTCAACCGTAAACTCGTCACAGATGCTGCAAAATCCCAACAGAAACAGTCCGCTGACCAGGAGAACACTTTACAGTAGTATTAAGGTAGCAATATGAGTTGCGTAACTCCGAAAGAGTTCTTCTAAGGAGAGTAATGCTTTAGTCGCAAGTTATATTTGCCACTTAGTCTAAGCCAGTAATGCTTTTAGGTCCTGTTTTTCTGCTTCAAGTGCAGCTGGTCAGTGTACATTTGAGAGGATCAGAGCTTTTAATGCAAGCAAAGGCATACCTTCTGTAGTACCTCCATTAAATCTACTGTGTCAAGTGTTTTCTAGCTGTGGTTTAACTAAGCCTTCCAGTACCTAATACAAGAAGGTTGGAGAGGGACTTTTCACGAGGGCTTGTAGCAATATGACAAGGGCAAATGGCCTTAAACTGAAGGAGAATAGGTTTAGATTAGATTTAAGGAAGAAGTTCTTTGTGATGGTGGTGAGGAACTTGACAGGTTGCCCAGAGAAGTTGTGGACTACCCATCCCTGCAGGTGTTCAAGACCAGGCTGGATGGGGTTCTGACTAACACTGTAAAGTGGAAAGTGTCACTGCTCACAGCAAGCAGGTTGAAGTAGATGGTCTTTAAAGTGCCTTCCAAGAACTGCCATTCTATGTATAGTTTCTTTTGTATGTGCGTATTATTTGTATGATGAAGGGTCTGTAATAGTTCTTATAGGGGACTTTGTGTTATGCTTTTTTTCTTCCCTCCAGAGCCCATCTAGGTCTGAACAGCCACATTACTCAATGCTTGGAAACTTTTCTGAAAGCAGACAGACTAAAGGATATTGCTTAATACTGCAGGCTTGCAGCTCTGTGGTTGAATATGGGTTCTGTTTCTACCTTGCTGTGATGCTACCCAGCACACACCTAGAGAATATATTTGCAAACACTGTTCAGTGAGTATCACTGCCTGTGAAAATAAAAATGAAGCTTTTTTAAAAAATATTATCTTAACACCAAAATAATGACACAAGGTTGAAGAAATTAAGATAACTGCTATTCAGTGCTGTGAATTCTGTTGATGATCTGGGAAGAACTGTCTGTAGCTCCATGAATTATTTTAGTAAGTGCAATATGTATGGGTGTCGGGAGGGAGGGTTGTGGATTCCTTTCTAATTAACAACTCACAGTTAAGAATTGGCAAAACATTGAAGTGAGGTTTAGTTCTTACCAAAGAACATGGCAATATCAATAGTCGATTTTTCAGCATTACTAACCTGTTCTTTCCTTCTCTTTCATTTCCACTTCTCACCTATGCCCAAATTGTCCAAAAGCAGTGTGAGATTTAGTATCAGCCATACTGTGTATTCAGCAAAATGTCATTTCCATATATGCTGAATTTGCCCCATCTGGTCATCAGACTTGGAAGTATCTTCTGAATTGTGTAATTATTGTTCCTCATTTTTGAAAGCTGTAAAAATTTCTGTTTAAGGGCACAGTAAGTTTCTGAAAAGTGTTTGCTACTTAAGTATTCTCTTCTATTACATCTGTTAACTGAAAGTGGTTTCCCCACCTTCCTTCATATGTGATGTTTGGTTGTCAACATACTCTTTTCCTTTTTGTGTGGATGCCCTCAGTATGACTGAACATCTTAAAATTCTCTCTTGCTGAGGCTTTAATTATCTTGACAAAAGCATAACGCATTCATACTGTTGCTCTATGTGATTCAACGAGTTTACCCTCTCAGAGCCTTCATTGGTCTACCAGATACTGAACTGGTTGAAGATTTTGGTAGAAGACCTCTCCCAGTTGTTGAGTGCATTTAATTTCAACAGTAAATGACAATGCATTATGCTATTTGAGTTCTTCAGATTAGGCATAAGACCTTTCAATGTTAATTCAACCATGAGGGCTAATGAAAGTTAATGCACAATACCATGCTTTGTGATGCTAAGACTTGTTATGGCATAAATGTCTTTTTCTCTCTTTCTGCTCTGATTTGGCACTGTTGGTTACAGCCTGCTTGACACAAGGTGGCTTGGGTTGTTTTCTCCTTCAAGCCATACTATATATGCTTGTAAGATTCCCAAAGAACTTCCTGGAACTCTTTATGGAGCTCTTATTCAGCATTCAGTGCAGAAATATGTTGCTTGTGTTTTTCTCTGAGAACAATGTTCAATCACTGTGTACTTTTATGCTTATTCTGTGTGGGTCAGATTTTCCCAGTTTTATATTATGGGAAGATTACACTTTTCACTTAGTTTTTATTTTAATGCATATGATTTTGATCAGGGTCCGTCAAAAATATTTTCACAGTCATTGTTTCCAATCATCAGCAGGAAAATAGATAAGGAAGAGATTATTTTTGAAGGGTCTGACCAGAAGATGTTGTGTATCCTGTCTTGCCTGGGATATCTTACTCCCTTGCTGTCTCATGAAATCTAACAAGAAAATTGCTGATAACTTTGCAGATCAATTGCCTAGAAACAATGGGGTTGATTAAGATGCTGAATGTAAGTTGAGAAATCCTGCTGACTAATCTTGATTTTGTCCATTTCAAAGTCTAGGGCCCAATCTAAACGGCCACACTGCTAAACTTACATTAATGTATCTTCTCACTCTCCAAATGATGGGATTGTATATTCAGCCAATCTTTAAAACACTCTCTGGTGTACATCTGGTCGTACATCAAATGGGTTTGAAATAAAAAAATCTGTAATTGTAATTAGACAGTGGGTTGATGTAGTACATAGTAAGAAAAACATTCTCACCCTAGTGCAGGACTAAACGGTCAGTCATCATTTAGTTCTCACAGGCCTTCATTATTTGAATCTCAGGTTCTTCTGGTGTATAGAAAGTTCACAAGCCAGCAGTGTGTCCATGTGGCCATGCAGGCCAATGGCATCCTGGGGTGTATTAGGAAGAGCATTGCCAGCAAGTTGGGGCAGGTGATCCTGCCTCTCTGCTTCAGCCCTGATGAGGCCTCACCTGCAGTGCTGTGTGTCCCACTCTGGGCTACTCAGGACAAGAGGGACACGAAGCTTCTGGAGTGGATCCAGTGGAGGGCAGCAAAGATGATAAAAGGACTGGAATAGCTCTCTTGTGAGGAAAGGCTGAGGGAACTGGGCCTGTTCAACCTCAAAAGAGACAACTAAGAGGGGACCTCTTAATGTTTGTAAGTATCCGCAGGGAGGATGTCAAGAGAATGAAGCCAGGCTCTTCTCAGTGGTGTCAAGCAATAGGACAAGGCAATGGGCAGAAACGGTGCAGTAACTTCCAAAGTTCCACCAGAATGAAAAAGAACTTTACTGTGTGAGTGACTGTGCTACACTGGAACAGGCTGCCCAGGGAGGTTGTGGACTTTCCCTCACTGGAGATATTCAAGAACAGTCTGGATGGAATCCTGTGCTGTGTGCTCTAAGATGACCCTGCTGGAGCAGGGAAGTTGGACCAGATGTACCCGTCAGTGGTCACTTCCAGCCTTACCCATTCCATCATTCCGTGATTGTAAGACAAACTTGATTTCTTGCAGAAATTATTTGAAGTTAAAGAGGACTATCAACTTTGCAGTTAGAATGAGAAAAAAAGACTAGGTGACCTTTTACTTCACTAGGAATGTCAATCTAAACCTTTATTACAATTTATGATGGCATAAGAATGCCATCACTCAGGGTGTCTTTCTCCTTGATTGCCAGTAAATTTAGAAATAATAGAGTTACACCTAATTTAATTTTGC